AAAGATATCGACATTGTTATTTTAAATAGCATAACTTGTATATTTTTTGATTTTTAAATTTCATATGTTTCTATAACATTCCCTATACCTAAACTCAATAGTTTTCGAGTTATTAATTTTTTTCGTACAACAAAAATAGCCTATAACTTCTTTGTTATTAGGTCTATTGGTATGCGGTTTGGATTTTTGGAATCTTAAAACATTGTTTTAAATATCCCGCGTCAAACTTTGCCATATTTCTAACCAATTACTTGATAAAAATTAGGGTGAATTTGACAAACTTTAAACCTTAATAACTTTTTTATTTTTAATGGAACGCTATTTATATTTTTGCAGAATTAAATTTCGTATTAAATTATATTTTGATTAGTATAACCGTTAATAATAACAAAGATATTTCACAATTTTGTAATAATTTAGGTATCAACACACCTGAGAAATCGACAAGCGAGTTATTTTGACGTATCCATGGAACAAAAATTGTTTAAAATCTAATTGTTTCACTTTTTCTAGTATTTGTTTAGTAAAAATGGATTTTACGCGACAAGAAATGATAAATATGGTTTATTGTATTGGAGAAGCGGATCGAAATGTTCTGCTAGCTAGTAGAATTTATCATCAAAAATATCCACTCAAGATTGCCCCGAGTAATTTCATTTTAAAAATTGAGGGATAGATTTGAATTGACGGGTAATATTTCTTAAAAGAAATTAGAATTGATTGGACGGAGAATTGATGAAGACCATGAATTAGAAGTTCTTTTGATGATAGAGGAAAATCCTTTTTTGAGTACTCGGGAGATCGCAAGAAAAACTGGTCTATCGCAAAGCAGTGCGAATCGCATAATTTTAAACCATAAATTTTACCCGTACCATATGGAACTTCATCAGGAACTTTATGATGACGATTTTCGGCATCGAGTAGATTTTTCAAATAGAATGCTTGAAATTGTGCATGCTAATGGCAACTTCTTAAACGGCATTTTATTTTCGGATAAATCTATATTCAAGAGTAATGGATCTGTTAATAGGAACAATTTGCACTATTATGCGACTCATAACCCCCATTGGCTGAGAACCATGGATCACCAAAATAGGTGGTCATTGAACGTTTGGGGAGGTACTATTGGAGGTCGTGTTATCGGTCCATTCTTTTTTGACGGTGTCTTGAATGGCGAGAGATACTTGGAATTTCTTCAAGCCGATCTCCCATTGCTTCTCGAAGACGTAGACTTGCATACAAGAGCGAACATGTGGATTCAGCATGATGGTGCTCCTGTTCATTATAGCCGTATCGTGCGGCAGTTTTTAAATCGGAGTTACGCTAATCGTTGGATAGGAAGAGAAGGAGCTATTGCTTGGCCAGCTCGCTGCCCAGATCTGATACCCATTGATTTTTTTCCTTTGGGGGTATGTAAAGGAAAAAGTTTACAGAAAACGACCAACCACAGCATTTCATTCTATTAACGAGGATATGCTAACCCGCATGAAGCAGTCTTTTCTACATAGACTGAATGTGTGTGTTCAGCAGAATGGCCGTATATTTGAGCATTTTTTATAATTATTAATTAAGTATATCGTTAAATTAAATATTTGATTCTGATTTAACTGATTTTTGTGCTTCTATTATAAGATTAAATAATAATACAATTCAACGAAAGAAATTATTAATAATTATGAATAGGCATTAATTTATCTCTGTATAACGTTGAATTGTATTATTTAGAATAACTGGTGGATAATGTGATATATACTCCTTTTTACTTGAAACAATTTTAAACAATTTTTGTTATTGGTATCCATGGATACGTCAAAATAACTCTCTTGTCGATTTCTCAGGTTTGTTGATACCTAAATTATTACAAAATTTTGAAATATCTTTGTTATTATTAACTTTAGGTATAGGGAATGGTTATACCAATTAAAAGTTAATTTAATAAGAAAATCTGCAAAAATATACATAGGGTTCCATTAAAAATAAGAAAGTTATTAAGGTTTAAAGTTTGCCAAATTCACCCTAATTTTTATCAAGTAATTGGTTAGAAATATGTTTAAAACAATGTATTAAGATTCCAAAAATCTAAACCGCATACCAATAGACCTAATAACAAAGAAGTTATGGGCTATTTATGTTGAAGGCGCAACTGTCAAATTTGTACTCGAAAACTATTGAGTTTAGGTATAGAGAATGTTATAGAAATTTTATCAGGAATTACATATGAAATTTAAAAATCAAAAAATATATAGGGTATTCTATTTGAAATAACAATGTTGATGTCACTTCCGGTGAAACCGGAAGTGGAATTTTGTTCAAAATAATTTTGGAAAATAGGTTTAGTTGGATCATATTTTCTATAAAAATTTCATATCGATATCTTTAATAGCAAAAAAATATGGACCGATCACAGAGCACTGGGTCACCCTGTTTATATATATATCTGTATATATATATATATACGAGGTGTGTTCAGAAAATAACGGGAATTGTTAAATTTCGCGGGTTCGGAGGGTCCGGTTGTCATAAAATTTTCTTTATTATGTTGGTATACATGCCCCCGAAGTATGATAAAAACTTTAGCTGTTGTCATTGTTTACTTTGTCTGTGGTAGCCGCTAAGGTAAGACGTGTTTTATGAACTCGGCGATTTTTCGTTCGTTAAAAGAAATGGATCAAAGAATATCCAATTTTGCTTAAAAAATGAAATAAATTCTGTGAAATGTTAACAAAGGCCTATAGTGAGTCTGCTATAAGTAAAACAAGAGTTTACAAGTGGTATAAGAGTTTCCAAGATGGCCGTGAATACGTTGAAGATGACGAACGCCCCGAACGCACAAGCACATTAACAACCGATAAAAACATGGAAAAAGTGGAAGAAATGGTTATAAACCATCAGAGAAGTCGCTGATGATGTTGGTATATCGATTGGTTCACCCCATGAAATTTTTTCGAATGTTTTGTGTATGAAACCGCGTGGCAGAAAAATTTGTTCTAAAATTGTTAAATTTTGAACAAAATTTTTGGCCAAAAACAATACTGTAATGATGCCCCAGCCTCCATATTCGCCAGACATGCCTCTGTCTGACTTTTCCTATTCCCAAAAATAAAGAGAACCTTAAAGGGCCGTCGTTTTGCAACCATAGATGACATTAAAAGCGCAACGCTGAAAGAACTAAAGACTATTCCAAAGATCGAGTTTTAGAAGTGTTTCGAGTATTGGAAGAAGAGCTGGCACATGTGAATAATATTCAATGCGGACTATTTTGAAGGCGACAACATTAATGTGGAAGAATAAATAAATATTTGTTTTAAAAAACGAAAATTTCCGATATTTTCTGAACACACCTCGTATATATATAGTAGAACACTTTTTGTTTCATATAACCTGATAAACCAATGCTAACATGACCACCAGATCAAAGAAAAGAATATATCTTGTTGATTCCACCATCTCCGAGTTAACAGGCAGTAAACTTCCATCCATTGGCATGGCTTTTTCTTCATTATCACTTAGACATGAAGTTGCCAATACGTGAGTCTTCAAAAAATGTAATTATTAAGATTACCAGTTTCTGGAAAAAAGACAGAGTTCCCATACAGGATGTCCAAAATTCACAAAAAAGCTGGAAAAAACTATTTAAGAAATTGCGTCTTCTTAAGAAAAACAAAGGCAGGCAGTCAAAGACGCAGGAATCTAAAGAAGCTAACTTCACTGCGCGTCTAAACAACTTGTTTGATATTTCTCACGCAAACGCCCTCAATACAATTAAGTTGCCTGAGGATAAAATGTTTCTGCTAGCACAAAGAAAAGACAGGCGTCAAGGAAGCATGACATCTGTTGACAAAGCACTATTTGTGAAAGAAAAAAAGTTTTGGAGAAAGAAGAAAATATACAGCGAAGGCAATTAAGAGAACAACGAAAAATTGATGAAATGATGAAACCCGAAATTCTTACCGATAGTTCTGAAGATGAAAATGACAGTAATAAAGAAACATCCCAATTAGCTGTCCTAAACTCTAGCCCTTGTCATTCTAAACCTAAAAGAGGGCGGATAAACATCGTGAATCCTAAGCTATCAGCAGCATTGGACAGGTCAAAATTATCTGATCGGAAAGCAGAAATTGCGGAAACAGCTAAAAGTTTAGGATACAACATTGCTGATATAAATCTTATAGAAGGGAAGAAGCTGCCAGATTAAAGAGATTTTGAAGGGTGTGCTTCCCTTACAGTACACTGGGATGGAAAACTTATTACAGACTTAACAGGTAATAAAAAAGTAGATCGCCTTCCTGTTATTGAGAAGCACAAGCAGCGGCAGTTTACAAAGCAATACGCGACTGGGATTTGAATGACCACCACAAGTTCCAATACAGGCATCAATTGTGGAGCATGTGATTTATTAGAAAAAAAGTAAAGACAAATTTGGTTGCCTTTGCGTGCAGTCATCACATCATGGAATTGATTATATCAGCAGAATTTGAAGTATGTTTCTTTAAAGGCTTTATGTCCTTTTGGAAATCAGTCGCACAAACCAAATTTGAATCCGGGTTAAGTGACCAGGAAGTTATGACAAACTTAAAAGATGTTCAAGAAAGTGTGTTAGAATTTGTGAACAAATCCTTACATAATTTTTTGGGGGGAATCACCAAGGCAAGGAACACATTTTATGAGACCCGGAGCAATGCATCACACACGCTGGATGTCTAAAATATTGTACTCCCTTAAAAAAAATTTGTTCCAGGAAAACGGACTACGTAACTTCTGCATATTTGTTGTTCGTGTATTGGTTATGGCTCCTTAACAAACACCTTACAACGATTTTACTTTATTAAAAGAACTAATCGAATAGGCATCAATCAAGAAATCTCGAAAGCAACTTCAGAAAATTTTTCCAAACATCTGCAGTCTTCGTAATTGCAGAAACAGCTAAAAGTTTAGGATACAACATTGCTGAAATAACTTTAAATCGAAGCTCAATTCGTAGATCGCGAATGTCTTATAGAATGGAAGAAGCTGACAGATTAAAAAGAGATATTCAAAGGTGTGCTTCCCTTACAGTACATTTGGATAGAAAACTTATTACAGATTTAACAAGTAATAAAAGAGTAGATGGCCTTCCTGTTATTGTTTCTGGAAATGGAATATCTCAACTACTTACTGTGGCAAAACTTTCCACTGGCACAGGAGAAGCACAAGCAGCGGCAGGTAACAAAGCAATACGAACTAATCGAATAAGCATCAATCAAGAAATCTCGAAAGCAACTTCAGAAAAATTTTACAAACATCTCTGGTATATATCTAAACACCTTATTGCTCTTGCATTTTTCGATGACAGACTTTCATTTGATGTAAAGCGAATAAAAACAAAAGAAGAGTCCAAAAACCAAGCAAAAAGATTGACGCTCGAGCTTACGAAACTTCAGACACGATCATTTAATAGTTTTGTAACAAAAAGATCGCTGGATTTTATGAAGCTTATGCACCTTCCAATCACTTGGCTTAACTATGATCCAGAGACATGGCAACATCGAGCTGATTTTCAAGAAGCTTTAAAAGTTGTTGGGTCACTTAGCGTAATAAATGACCATGCTAAAAGGGGTGTGGCTTTAATACAAGAATTTAGCGGACTTTTAACGCACAACGAGCCGCAACTTCAGTTTCTCCTTCAAGTCATTCAAGATTCAAAAGCTTGATGAACAACTTTTAGAAGTTTTTAGTAAAGTTGGTTATTTAGTAAATATTAAGTTTATAATAAATATCGCATTACATAATATTATGGACATATTTCGTATTTATTCATATCAAATTTAATCTAACCTCAAATATTTTATTTTTGGGTTTGCTGTTTTTAAAACTATAGTTTAGGTAGTTTATTAATAATAAATATTTCATTGCAAAAACATTTTTTTTTATACTAACCCTATTAAATTGAAAGTTTAAAAATATTCTTTCTGATTCATATCTTTACCCCTAAAAAATATTTTTTTTAAGGTCAGATTTTTTATAACTTGATTTTACAACACAAAGAAGGAGGAAAATTGGAAGGAGATGACTACTTGGATCAGGAAAAAGATAAAGAAAAAATGCCAGGATAAGGAAGAGATATAGAAACCTCCGTCTCACCGCGAAGTAATGCGAATAATCGGTTCCACTGTGAGCATGGGAGAGAAAAGGGAGGTGGGTTTTTAGTCGGTAGGAGTCCGACACTACCTAAAACAGATGTCCATGAGGATTTCCCCCTGCAGTAAGGTACTATGTAATTTATCGTGCAATGCCTGCTTTAGATCAACTACAGAAGGGTCTGAACACTTTACAAATGCTAGACAGACTAAAAGTCTATGCACTTGATTTCAAGCTAACAGCAGATAGCGAATTGCGAATTGAAACGAAAGTTGTAACATTTTGGAATGAATATCTTTTGGATTGTGAAGGTAAAATAAAATATGTTGCCCAATGCTGACAATACTTATGTTATTTTAGAGGCTGAGGCAGAAGTACAGTTAAAAGACATTTTATGCTTTTCAACTGCAAGTGAAAAGGCACCTCCACTTGGTTTTAACAACAAACCAGAACTACTTTTCCTGCATGATGAGGGACTATTTCCTAAAGCTAACACTTGTGCTCCAATACTGTAACTTCCTGTAGCATACAAAGACAGCGAATATAACAAATATAAAAACAACATGAATTATGATATTTTAAATGGAATGGCATTTGGTTATGCCTAACTTTCTTATTATTTACCTAAGTGTTATAAAGTTATAAAGTTATAAAGTGCTCTTTTAGTTCCACCCTTACATCCAAACTAAGATGTCCCATAAGCCAACTGAATGGCTTGTGCGGGTTAGGGGTAGGAACGGACCGACGGCTTAATGTCCCCTCCGAAGGACTATACACAATGGACAAACACAAATAAACAACCATACCCAAGTGGGATTCGAACCCACGACCTCTCGGCTCGTGTGTTTTCAGGATTCGGTTGTTATTTAACTTTTTTTTGGAAAGAATTTTATTTTTGTTTTTTTTTCAAATATTTAATAAGTTATTAATATTATTTATACATTAAATAGGAATTCAACCATTATTGCTTTATTCTCTCATTGTGCCTGTATGAAAGTACTTGAGCCATAGTTGGATGAGGGTATTAATAATAATAGGGATGTTTTTTTATTTATTTTTTAACACACAGTAGATATTACTTATTTATTTTACTGTACGCGATATTACAAAATATGTATAATATGTATATAATATGTGTAATTCCAAAATAGTTGTCCTCTGTATTGCTTCTAATTCCTGAGGGGTTGCCAAAACATTAAATTCAGGAAATACTATTACTTCTATTAACTTCTATTCCATAGGTGGAGTGGAGATTTTGATCTCATAGTAGTTTATGGAAATTAAACTGTTGAATAAATTCATACAAAGAACTCTGTTCACCTCTGACCAGTCTCTCGATTCTTTGTTTGAGTACCGATCTTCCTGCAATGAAACTACCTCTGTTTGCACCCCTTTTAGTAATCATATAATTAGCCAGAGCTATATTTTCTGTTCCTCTGCCTCCACGCGCTGTACTTGGTAATCCAATTTTTTTAACTCCGTTCTCAAATAAAGACAAGACAGTTTGGCCTTTGTTATTATTTTCACATTCCATCACATAGCCATCAATGCAACCATGCAGAACAAAGCGAAAACTGACCAACTTATGGTTTGAATCAATATGCCTAAAATACTAATAATAAACCATAAGTAATTGGATCCCTTTACAATATCTTTTATTGCATGTCTTTTTCTTGCTGCGCGTCCCACCGGATTTAAAAAGTTCAAATGTTCCCGGATCCTCCATCTTGCAACATTCTGCTTTTTTGCACTTCGTCACTAATAAATTAAATTCGTCTCTAATATTAAATAATCTGATATATCGGAAAAGAGATCTTCTAGATATACCTAAAGACCTACTGAAATCGGTCCATGTGCTACCATCCCTTTGCTCAGAGAAATCTGGTCAGGCGTTATGTTGAGTCTTCGTCTTCCGACTTTGCTGATGTGTACAATTGTTGTTGTGTAACTATTAACAACTTGTAAAAGTGCAGGGTGAAGACTGGGTTTTAGCAACACAGCTAAAGGATGATCTTTGTTAGTAGTTAATGGAAGTTCTCTCAAGAACAAGGCCACGAAGAGCTACAAATTCATAAAGATTTTGAACTTAAAAATAGCAAATTATATAAGAAGACCTCAGATGGGCTTAAATTGAATTTGCCTAAGCCTGCTCGACGTGTAGTAACCATATGTGACATTTTTCAATAGAAAAGACTTTAAAAAATATAGGAGATAAATACTGGTTTTCTAGAATAAGGAAATATGTAAGCCGATATGTATCAGCCTGCTTACCTACCTTGTGCCTATGACAAAATACCATACTTGCTTTTAAATATGGGAGAGCAATATATACGCAATATTCCCAAAACCAACGTACTTTAGTTGGACAAATTCTTAAACTGTATATAAAAAAATACGATACGGGTTATTTAAAAGAGTTCCTTTTATAGCAGCATTTCAAAAAATGAATAGAATATTTACCCTTTGGTCGCTAAAAATAAAATATATTTAAAAAAAATATTCTATGCAAACATCGGTTTTATCGGATACAGTGGTAAATTATATTTCCTTTTCTTTAAGCAAAAATTTTGCCTAAATTTGGTAATCAATTTTGAAAGATATTTAGAGAGAAACCACACTGATTGCAAGGAAATAATTTACATGTTACCATATCGCCGACGGTGGTCGAGTGGTTAGTGCAGCTGACTACAAGCCGGAGGTCGTGGGTTCGAATCCCACCAGGGGTATGGCTGTTTATTTGTGTTTGTCCTATTGTGTATTAGTCCTTCAGCCATTCAGTTGGCTTATGGGACTTCTTAAGAAGTAAGGGTGGAACTAAAAGAGCACTTTTGTATATAAACTTTTTTTTGTAATCCCGACCGAAATTTTTTTTAACCCTTATCAGAAGGTAAAGATTCAATTTTCTTAGTTTCTTTAAGAAACTTTCTTGACCCATCACTGGTAATATTCATAAGAAAAAATTGAACCTACACCTAGCAAAAGTTTTTTGTTGATGAGACCCAATAAAGGTCGAAACAGCTGTCTGTCGGTATTTGAAGTTGGTGGAACGCATTCAAAACAAAAAACTTTGGCTAGGTGTAGGTTCAATTTTTTCTTAATATTACCAGTGATGGGTCAAGAAAGTTTCTTAAAGAAACTAAGAAAATTGAATGTTTACCTTAATGTTTAGCCCGGTTGGGTTAATTCTAGATTCCTTTAGGCCATATTAGTATCTGTGATACAATTGCTGTGTGCAGTCCCGGTTGCATAGTATGTACCGATTGCGGCAAAGGCCACGTCGTTTGACGGTGTGGATCACCTGATGTTCTTACATCTCGCCTCTGTTGACTTAACAACCAAGCATATAAGCTCAGGGAGTAATTTGTTTTGATTGTGTTCCACTACACCAAGTTGTCCGACACTGATGAGACCCAATAAAGGTCGAAACAGCTGTCTGTCGGTATGTGAAGTTGGTGGAACGCATTCAATACAAAAAACTTTGGCTAGGTGTAGGTTCAATTTTTCCTTATCAGAAGCTTTGGGGCCATTCCACGCTTAACGGATAGGACAGTTGCCGTGTTTTTATTTACAAAATAATATTGTTCTATTATATTACCAATGTCAAATTTTTATAAATAGTTCTAAACAAAAGCTGTTTAACAAGGTTTTTATTTGGCAAAATTAGGTATCGTGATTGACTGTTTAATTTCTTAAAAATTAATAATTTAAAGCGTAACGGACGGGACTATTACGAAGTCCCGTCCGTTACGCTTTAAATTATTAGTTTTTAAGGAATTAAACAGTCAACCACGATACCTAATTTTGCCAAATAAAAACCTTGTTAAACAGCTTTAGTTTAGAACTATTTATAAAAATTTGACATTGGTAATATAATAGAACAATATTATTTTGTAAATAAAAACATGGCAACTCTCCTATCCGTTACGCGTGGAATGGCTCTTTGGTAACTTTAGTAAATTCCTAAAAAGTAAAGTGTATCCAGACAAAGCAGAGTATTAACCCTGTCATCGATGCAAAGCCATATTTTATAAGGAATACTTATCAAGTCTCCGAAAAAATATGTATTATGTAAAGATGCTGGAAAAGATACTACAATACAAAAAATTAGTGAAGCAGCTGGTTTTCAAACATTGATTGCATGCTCTCTAAATAAAAATAATACCATACATAAACTTAAAGAAGAGGTCTTTTTAAGAATGAAGGCAGATAATATATCATTTGTGGCAAAATCAGACTACCTTATTTGTAAATTTGAATAGATTTAAAACACAAGACGACGACGTTTTCATCATTATGTCATCTCTGGACTGAACAGGTAATACCTTAACCATCAGATAGTCCTGAAGATGACCTCATAAAGGTTGAATAAATGCAAAATTAGATATTTTAAGTTGACCTAAGCCATCTGAAGATCTCTCAAGTTCAGGAGCGTACCCCCCATGAAATTTAAGAAACTGTTGTATTTTTTATATTTCGTAGAAATCTTAAAACCAAAAATTATGCAATTAATAAAAATAAAACAATACAGCAGCGTCGTATCTTTGCCAATTGGGTGTTGGAAATGCATAAAAATAATCTAGAATTTCACAGAAAATCATTTTGAGCGATGAGGCACATTTCCATTTTCAAGGCTTTGTTAAGCAAAATTGTCGCATTTGGGGTTAAAAAAAACAGGAATGATTATTAAGAAGTCCCTCCATTCTCAACGTGTAACTGTTTGGTGTGGTTTTTGGACAAAAGAAATTATTGGGCCTTATTTTTTTTTAAATAAAGCGGGTGTCGGTTTACATTTGAATTAGCCGTTTGTCATCAACGCTCCGCTGGGGCGTTGATACCACCTTGACCTTCCCACCTTTCGGCATTGGGTTCGGCTACCACTTTCTAGCGCAACGTCTACCATCGAGAACGCCATCACAACTCCAACTCCCCTATTAGCGGGGTACCCCCTTTTTCCCGTTTTCTCTTCTTTCCCAATTTTATTTTTCACATTATTTACATATGTACAATATAAGCCCGCTTACATACCTAATCATTTCCTAGCTACTTCCCTTTCCCTATTCCTATTTCCCGTCCTACGCCTATCCCCTTACCCTACCACTACTATTTACAAATTTACCCTAGCTTACCATCTAAAGCCATTACTATCTACCTTTTACCTATTTATATATAATAATGCTAAAAATCTCGGGATAATAATTGATAGCGATCTTAATTTTGATGTTCATATTAATAATATATATAAATCTTCTTTTTTTAAACTTAAATCTTTAAATGAACTAAAGTATGTGCTTGACGAAAAAACAAAGTTAATGCTAGTTAAATCTCTTATTTATCCGAAAATTAACTATTGTAGTTCTGTTTATTACTTTAATTTAACTATGCATAACAGGCAAAAACTTCAACGCATTCAAAATGCTTGTATTAGATTTATATGCTGTATTAATTTTAGAGACCATATTACACCATCCTTAAATCGATTAAATGAAATGAATGTATTTCAAATGACAACATTTTT